TGCACTTTCCTAGATTCGACGAAATCGCTCTCTCTCTCTCTCTCTCTCTCTCTCTCTCTCTCTCTCCCTCCTTCAGGGCGACCCAGTGCCCGAAGGAGGATTAAAAACGCTCGTTCCTACCGATCGTTACGCATGAAAGTATGGCAGTAGCCCGCGGGAGGAGGAGGAGAAGAAGAAGGAGGAGAAGGAAGAGGCTTCGCATGCAGGTGCAACTACAACCGAATCGTCGTCTCGGCGACGCGAGGCCTGCGGGCAATCGTTTATCAACATCAGCTGTCAGCGGTAGCTCGCGGACCGCAAAATGCTCGCGCGTACGTCGCACGTATTTGCGCGCACACGCATGTGTCTACGTTCTTCAGTCCTTACCATTAACCCACTTGCGCCTTTAACGTCGCTATTTGCTCTAAGATAGGCAGCAGCTGTACGGCCGATTTTCTGCGCTTTGTCTGCGTCTGCCACTCGTAAAATCGAGCACGCGAAAAGTCTGTCCGGAAAAGCGAATATCTCGTCGCGGTTCTGCAGCCGCTCGACTCCTTCCTGACGTCTCGATTGAGGCCACGTCGCGGTCCGTGTTAAATCGAACGGGTGCTATCTTTTACTAATTGCGTTACTTAAACCAATTTAATTAATTCGAAAGTTTCGAAGCTCTCCTGGATGTTTGATTCGTTCCGATTTTGCGTCGAATATCCGAATAACCGAACTTTTACGCTAAAGGCGCAAAACAAATTGCATTTGCCGCGAATTAAGCGTACGACCTAGGTTAGGAAAGTTGACGAGCCGACCGAAGCGCCGAGCGTATGCGAGAGCGGACGCGACGGCAATACCTTTTGACCAGATTGAACTTGAATGGACTCATTATCTTCCTTAATAAGCGACACTCTGAGCGACAGAGCCCTGCGCTAGCTAGCTGGCTAGCCAGCTAGCCGACATTGCCTTTCTTATATGCCGCGAGATATGCCGCCTTACACGGTACTAGCGTGCGTCTCCTCTTGAGCGTCCGCTGCTTTTGTTCACAACCCAATTTTGCGATCAATTGCGATCGACCCTCTTCCGCCGTGGTTCTCATCTCAGCGTAGCGAGAGAGATGCGGGAAGCGAGATCCCGCCAGCTCGCGTGGCCGACGGTGAAATAAACGGTGTTATTAGGTCGAAATATCATTTACCGGCATTAAGGGCTCTTTCTTTTTCTCTTCTCTCCTCTTTTCTTTTTCTCTATTATTATGTTTTCTTCTATAGCACCTATCCTTCAATCGTAAGAGAATCAGCTTCACGTATAAATATCAAGATGCTAGCAGCATGCTAGTTAGCAGAAATGCCAAAAAATTTGGCACTTGGCTTATGTCAAAAAGTGCAGACACAGCGGCAGTCATTTCGCAAAATCGAAAAATTCAAAAGATACGACCGTAGATACGAGTGATAGAAGAAGGTCGTTCCCAATATTTTCGATGACTTTCGAAACGTATTCTTCTTGCCCGATGGGAAAATTTTCTATTGCTATTAGAGAACGGATGAACCAGAAACATGCATTACGGAAGCTCAGACGAAAAATTGGAAACAATTATTTTGTCGTCACTACTATAGGCGTAGGTAGTCAAGATATCACGGTGTATACGGTATGGAATCGTATGGTATGCGTTGAATCGGTCCTTGCCGAGAAACCTGGGCCGAAGAGGCCCGTCCGCTTCTGGCGTTCGCAATGTAGGCTCACCAGGAAGACAATTTAACGGCGCGAACCGCACGATTGCGGGCCCCTGCGAGACGCGAGAGTGAAGATGATCCACTTTGTCGGCGCGTACATGCACGTGCATACGAAGCGTCCTAAATTCATCGCGACATTATCTCGCGCGAGAGGATCGTTGAAAGTCAGCTTAATTTAGAAAAGTGAGATCTGATGAGAGCGGACCGAAGAGCGAATCGGACAGGAGTATCTAATCGCGTTGACGCGCCACGAGATTATGTACGACACAGTTGTTTTACACGAAAAATCTTGATTAAGATTCTCAAAACGTGACTAGAAATAAGAGATTTCTTTCGCGAGATTCCCTGCCGCAGCCGCAGCTGCGGTACTATGCCCCAATAAACTTCGTCTTTATGGATCCCGAATAATCGACGTGTCGGAATGACCGTTTAAAAATCTTGTTTCTATACTAGATATATACTGTCGGCTCTGTTGACGCGGCGTGTCGCGCAAAAACCGAAATCAGCAGCTCTGTAATCCTTATTACGTTTTGTACGTGTTGCAATTTTCTAATCGTAAAATATGATTCAACGTTACGGATTCGTACTTGATACGATACGACACGTAAAATTCTCTAATCGGTTATTTATGGTTATTTATGTGTTGGACTATTAACGCATCTAATTATAAGCGCACGTCGAAATAACGATGGATCGAGACACCTGTGCGAAAGTCACCGTGAGCAAGTTCAAGTTTTACTTAATAGGAGGTCGATACTATAAAACAATGTCATGTTATCTCGGTTCAGAGTACGATATACCGTTAAACCAGACGGCAACTAATTGATATCAGTCTATAAATACTCGCGCGGCATGTTGCCCTTTTTCTAATCCCCCTCCTCTCTCTCTCTCTCCCCCCCCTCTCTCTCTCTCTCTCTCTCTCTCTCTCTCTCTCTCTCTCTCTCTCTCGTCGAAGTGAAATTTGCGAATAACTCAATGATGCAAGCGCTTACGCCGATCCGTTGCCGGTTAATCCAATTTCCTGCGATTTAAAAAAGTTGCGTAGGAATTTATACTCCCGCT